GCCATGTTCCCCTTGAGCCTTTGGAGGACCTGGGCGTATGGGTGGTGGTTTTTTAATCTGTTCCTTCCCTTTCCTCCCCAATGCCGCCCTACTGCCTTTCCTCTCCACCCTGGGGAGGCCTCTCAGTCCTGAGTCCCCTACCCTCTGCCACGTCCTTTCCTTCCGCCGGCAGGTACAACTCAACTACTGCTGGCGGGACATGGCGGAGAAGCCCTAGAAGGGTCACTTCTGGTGCCCCAGCAAGGGGCCCGGTACCAGGTGTACTACACTGTGGGGGAGGCCCGGTGTTTTCTCTGTCAGGCGATGGGGCACGTCCGAAGGGACTGCCCCTGGCCCGGTTTGGAGAGGCACCCGGGACCCCCGGCGATGCACTCGGGACCCCCGATGCCTGGGAGGGCACTGGCCCCACCATCGCTGGTCACCCCTCCTCCAACCATGGCCGCCCTCAGTCCCACGTGGGTTCCGCAGGGCCCAGACAAGCGTGCGGGGGCTGCTGCCACCACCAAGGCTGGGCCCGCGGAGGAGAGCGACGGGACTCCCCAAAACCCTGCAGGCGCTTAGCAGGCGGGACTTCATCGCTTCCCATCACCCCGGTGCTGGGGAGGCTGGGGCTGCACGCTCTGTGGCGCTGGAGCCCACCGCCCTGCCCCACCCCTGCTCCCTGTTCAACCCATTTCCCAATTGAACTTCCCACCCCGCTTCCTACTCCCCCCCACTTCTCTTCCCTAATCCCTCCCCTCTTCCTCCTTTTCCTGATCCCCCTCCCTGACCAGCGGCTTCCGTGATGCCCTGCTCATGTTCGGGTACAGTCTGTTTGCTGCGGGGCCCAGTGGGGACCACTAGCACCCCTGCTGGCGAGGATCTTCCCCAGCCCTCTTGATGACGCTGATCATCTAACCACTCTAAACACCTGGGGCTGTGGGTTGGGTCTCCGCAGGTGTCAGGTGCTCTCCTTCCTCCGGGAGGGGAGTACTCTGTCCTCTTCCTGCAGGAGACCCACACAGCTCCGGCCGCGGAGGCTGGAGTGGGGGGGACAGGGTTTATTTCAGCCACCTGTCGGCCCGTCAAGAACCACCTGTTCTCCCCAAACCTGCAGCCTGAGGTGCTGGGGACCGCCGAGGTCATGCAGGGCCACCTGCTGCATCTCCAGGTTCGGATGGAGGGACTGACATTAAATCTCATTAACAGCTATGCCCCGACGTCCGGCCCGGAAAGGCTCCATTTCTGCCAGCGGGCGTCTGTCCTCCTTGGCGCTCTGGATCCTCGTGAGTGCCTAGTCCTGGGCGGGGACTTCAACTGCACCCTCGGAGCGGGACCGTACGGGGACCGAGCAGTGCCTGGCCACCACGGACATCCTCAGGCAGATAACAGACCATCACTCCCTGGTGGACGTCTGGCGAGACCTCCACCTGGGCGGGGAAATGGCGTTTACCTACGTCCGGGTGGTGGGTCAACGGTCATTCCACTCCCAGTTGGACTGCGTTTATCTGTCTCGTCGTCATCTCTTCCGGGCCCACTCCTCCAGCATTCGGCCAGCCCCTTTCTCGGACCACAGCTTGGTGGCCGTACGGGCCTCTCTTTCCTCAGAGAGGCCAGGGCCGGCCTACTCGCATTTCAATAACAGCCTGCTGGAGAACGTGAGCTTCGTAGCGTCCTTCCAGGAGTTCTGGCTGGCCTGGCGCGGGCAGCGATGTGCCTTTCCCTCGGTGCGGCAGTGGTGGGATGTGGGGAAGGTGCGCACGCGGCTCTTCTGCCACGACTACACCTGGGAGGCCAGCCAGGAGAGAGGCAGGGATAGAGCGAGGGATGCAGCGATAGAGCAGTTGGAATGGGAGGTTTTAGAGCTAGAGAGGCGGCTGGCCACCGGTCCCAGAGATCCACCCTCTGTGGAGCGTTCCTGGAGAGGTGGAAGGAACTCCGGGCCCTTGAGGACCTGTGGGCCCGGGGTGCCTTTGTTCATTCTCGCATCCATCTCCTTCAGGAGATGGATTGCTGCTCCCGCTTCTTCTACACCCTGGAGAAAGAGGGGGGTGAAAAGCACGTCACCTGCCTTCTGGCGGAGGATGGCGCCCCCCTCACACATCCAGTGGAGATGCGCGAGAGGGCTCATGCCTTCTATGCCTCCCTTTTCTCGATGGATCCAACCGACACCCACCGGGTTCTCTGGAATGAACTTCCAACGGTCAGCACGGGCGACCAGGACTGGCTAGAGCTGCCTCTCTCTCTGGCCAAGTTCTTGGAAGCCCTTTGTTTCATGCCCACCAATAAATCCCCGGCTGAACGGGCTGGCCGTGGAGTTCTACCGTGTGTTCTGGGATGTCCTTGGCCCGGACCTTGCTAGCATCTGGGCCAAGTCCTTTATTGTGCAGGCGAGCCATGCTCGCCTGCTGCCCAATAAGGGGGACCTCCGCGATCTGAGGAATTGGCGTCCCATCTCACTCCCCAGCACGGACTATGAAATCGTCGCCAAAGCCGTCTCTCTAAAGCCTGTGCTGGCAGACGTGGTCCATCCAGACCAGACCTACACCATCTCAGGCTGAACCATCTTTGACAACCTCTTTCTGGTCCGGGATCTCTTAGAGCTTGGGTGTAGGGACAGTCTGTCGTTCGCCCTCCTGTTCTTGAATCAGGAGAAGGCATTCGACTGGATGGACCATGGATACCTCCTGGGCACCCTGCGGGCCTTCGGCTTTGGGCCCCATTTTGTGGGGTTTCTCCAGGTGCTGTACGCCTCCGCAGACTGCTTGGTCAAGCTCAACTGGACCCTGACCGCACCGGTCAGCTTCGGGTGAGGAGTACATAAAGGCTGTCCGCTGTCAGGCCAGCGGTACACTCTGGCCATGGAGCTCTTCGCTCTTCTTCCATCTCCTTTGCAAGAGGTTGACGGGGTTGGTGCTCCGTGAGCCAGAGACGTGGCTGGTCCTGTTGGCGTACACCGATGACATGCTCCTCATGGTCCAGGACCCGGGCGACATGGCGCAGGTGGAAGCTTGTCAAGCCGTCTACTCAGCAGCCTCCTCCGCCCGGGTCAACTGGGACAAGAGCTCTGGCCTGGTGGTAGGGGCTAGGTGGCAGGCGGGCTCCCTCCCACCTGCGCTTCAGTCCTGCTGGGCCATGCTGCAGATAGCTGCCAGTGGGGGGTCACCCACAGCCCACCACCCAAACATGGCAGCCAGCAAGGTACTAATACTGCATCACACTGTCTTCCTCATTTTTGTGTATCGCCCCTTTCCGAAATTAAATGTTGGGCTGAGGTATCTTTTCCCACCACAGGGATGTTACATTTTATTACATCATGGTCACTATTTTCAAGCAGTCCAGCTATATTTACCTCTTGAACCAGATCCTATGCTCCACTTAGGGCTAAATCAAGAATAGCCTCTCTCCTTGTGAGTTCCAGAACCAGCTGCTCCAAGAAGCAGTCAGTTAACATATCAAGAACTTTTATCTCGGCATCCTGTCCTGAGGTGACGTGTGTCCAGTCAATACGGGGATAGAGGAAATCCGCTATTATTGAGTTTTTTATTTTAATAGCCTCTCTAATCTCTTAGCATTTCATGGTCACTATCACTGTCCTGATCAGGCGGTCAATAATATATCCCTACTGCTATACTTTTATTATTGGCACATGCAAATACTATCCAGAGATTCTATGGAACATTTTGGCTCACTTAAGATATTTTTACTTCACTTGATTCTACATTTTATTTCACATACAGTGCCACTACCCCCCAGCACAACCTGCTCTGTCCTTCTGATATACTTTGTATCCCGGATGACTCTGTCCCATTGATTGTCCTCATTCCACCAAGTTTCCGTGATGCCTATTACATTAAAACAAGGCACTCTAGTTCACCCATCTTACTATTTAGACTTCCACCATTTGTGTATAAGCACTTAAATAGTGACAAATTATAAATGTCATTTCCTGATGTTACTTTTTCTTTTGTTTCATCTGATCTGACCCATACTTCCATCCTCCCCTCCTGACTAGAACACAGAGCCTCCCCTAAGAGACGTCTCAGTCCAATCCAAGTGCTCTGCCGCACCACTATTTTCTTCCACTATTTGATCTGAGGAAGTGGGTCTGGCCCACGAAAGCTCATCATCTAATAAACCATCTTGTTAGTCTTTAAAGTGCTACATTGTCCTGCATTTTGCTGCCGCACCAGTCGGCTTTCCCCCAGCCCTTAGTTTAAAAACTGCTCTACGAACTTTTTCATGTGAAGTGCCAGCAGTCTGGTTCCATTTTGGTTTAGGTGGAGTCTGTCCTGCCTGTATAGGCTCTAGAGTCACCTTAGTCTGCTAGCTCCTCCGAGCCAAGCCCCTGGCTGTGGATAATTTTCATCTGCTTCATCAGAATATTTTTGCCATTCGCTGCAGGCCAGAAACTGTGTGACTGAGCCAGCAAGCGATGGGGACCAAGAAAGCGCCTCGTCACGGAGGTTGGGGCGTACAGAGTAGGAGGGAAGAGCCATGGATGGGAAGAGGCCAGGAACGGATCTGGGCTCCGGAGGGGGAGAAGAGGCGGAAATAGAGCCAGGCGCCGGAGGTGGAGAGAGCTGCACTGAGCCAGGATGCTGTGGGGTAAGACCAGAATGCAGCTGGGACCTGGCACTGGGGAGCAGGGCACGAAGGGGGGAAGACTGGAGAGGCCCTTGGAGCTCGGGTGTGGGGTGACCTACATTCTCACCGTGCCAGGCTCCTGTTTCTCCTGCTCAACGAGGCACCCCAAGGTAGAGCCCCATGGGCCCAGGAATGTTCAAACCTGGCCGCGCTCTGCCCAGCTCTCAGCACCGCGGGCCAGAGGCTGCAGCCCAGGGGGGCTGGGGAGTGGGAGGGACCGAGTAGCCCCAGGCTCTCCCAGGCACTGGGGCCAAGCTAGGGCAGGGCTTGCTGGGCATTGGCACAGTTCTTCCGCCTTTGGCCTCTCACTTGCTAGGGAAACGGGCACCGCCCCATGGCCTGAGGGCCTCTCCCATGCAGAGCCAGTCACCAACACCCAGAGCTCAACAGTTTATTAACACCACCACCAAACACCCAACAGCGGGAGATGGACAATGGCCAGGTGGGAAGGGCTGTGCACCCAGCCCAATGCCCCGCAAGGCGGGACCAGCGCCCTGCAGCGCGCCCGCACAGCAGCCCCCATGCTCCTGCAGGCCCCCAGCAGAGGCCAAGGCCCTTGCTCTGCCGGAAGAGGGGACCAGGGAAAGCACGGTGAGTAAAGTTAGCGGCCCCCTGGCGAGCCCGTTTCTCGCTCTGCTGCTGGCAATGCAGTCGGCTCTGCGGGGCTGTGGCTGCATCTTCTCCAGTCTGACCCAAACCCCCAGAGCACAAGTAGCTCTGAGCCCGGCAGAAGGGACTGGCCTGTTCCCAGCACCTGCTCAGCACAGACCTTGGTCGGAGGCTCCTGCAGACGGCAGCTGATGCTCTGCACCAGCTGCGAGGGACGCTGCTACTGGCTAATGATTCTCACTGGTGCCAAGCGCCCACAAGCCCTCACTGCAAGTCCTGTGGGCTCAGAGCCCCAGGCCAAGGGCTGGGCAGGAGCAAATGCTACAGTTTGTAAAATTGTGGTGGGCAGGAAAGCCCCGAGGCAGGCGTGAAGCCTGCAGCTGCCTGGCAGCACAACCTGTGGAGGGCACCCCCACGCCTCAGAAGGCAAAACCACAACAGGTTAAAACAGTCGTTAGAATTAAAACTTTTTAAAGGGGCAACTGAGCCCCGCCCCGGGAAAGGAGGAAGTGGGGGCTGAGTGAGACAGCGAGGGAGCAGCTTCCCAGCCGGTTCTCTGTGCAATCTGTGCAGTAGGGTTTGAGGAGGGAGGGAGATGCCCCGGGGCGGCCACCAGCAGTGTCCTGGCCTCGGGGCAGGCGCTAGAAAGGCCTGGTCTGAAGCTGCTGTGCTCTTCCCTCCACAGCCGCGTTCAGTGCTCCTGGCTCTGCGGGCCCCTCTCATGCCCCTCTTCCTCCATTTTCTTCATGGCCTCCAGCACTGCCAGCTCCTTGGCTTCTTTCTTCTGGTTCCTGGCTTCAAACTCCAACCTGCAACAAGCAGCAGATCCCATGGAATTCTCTCCCCAGCAGCCTTTGCTCCGCCTAGACCAAGGGGCCCCCGGCCAGTCTCATGACCAGCTGGTACTTCTGAAGCTTTCCGGTGAGCCCCAGCCCCACTACTCAGACTGCACTGGGCTGTTTGCCCTCCCCTCCGCCTGTCACCTGCCCAGCCATGCCACTCCGCTCAGCCGCTCAGTATTGGCGCAGAGAGCCCAGGCGCATGAACCTGCCCACGTGGAGGAAACAAAGGGGCAGATCCAGGTCACATCCCCGTGGGACGGTAAAAGAACCAGGCTCTTTATACTGCTCACAGGGAGGGGCCTGACATCCACACACAGCTCTGTCCTGCCTGGCCCTATTCCAGCTTCTCCTCCAACTGGTGGCTCGCTGCCAGAGCAGCCAGGCTGGGTCACCCCAAAGGTCCAGCCGGCCCCACGTCCTGTCTGCCGACAGTGGCCAGTGCCAGGTGCCCCAGCGGGAACGAACAGGGAATCACCCAGTGATCTGTCCCGTCGCCCATTCCCAGCTTCTGGCAAACAGAGGCCAGGCACAGGCCTGCCCAGCCAGGCTAACGGCCTGATGGACCTGTCCTCCATGAATTTAGCAGGGTTCAGAAAAGAACTAGTGAAGACCAGGACATTAACAACATCCTCTGGCCAGGAGTCCACAGCTTGACTGTGTGTTGTGTGAAAAAATACTTCCTGTTACTCATTTTAAACCTGCTGCCTATGAATGTTATTGGGTGACGCCAAGTACCAACCTGGGACCTACCAATAGCCCTTGCCCTCGTCCTCGGAGGAGAACGGCTTAGGCTTGAAAGGGCAAAATGCCAACAGCTGGCCAGAGGGGACAGCACAATGGGTTTCCAGGCCCAGGACCTAGCAGGGGAATTTCTACCCCTTGGCATTTAATAACAGCAAATCAAACAAGACGCAGGCTTCGGAGAATCCAGCCGAGGGCCCTGACAGGCATAAGACTGAACGAGCTAAGGCCTCACGCGATTCACTGGGGAGAGGAGGCAGGAGGTGGATATTTGTGTGCCCAGCTGCAGAGTTCTGTAAGCAGGAGGGCACTCGCTTTCATGTGCAGCTCTACAAATCCGGCCCCAAGTGACTTTTCCCGAGTCCAGGGTAAATGTGGCGAGCTGGGAACAGACACCAAGTCTCCTGCCTCCAGTGTTTAGCCAGAGACTTCCTCCTCCTGTCTCTTCGCTCTGATTCGTCCTGATGCTAGTTATGGGATAAGCCTGGGGCTAATGGGGCAGAACCCTCGGAGGCCAGGAAGCCAACCTGTTCTTAATGATTCTTTGCACAATCAGGTCTGTAGTGAGGTTGCTGCCACTGTCCACCAGCTGGAAAATGCCACGTCTCTTGGGCTCCTGCAAAGAGACACAGCAGGCTAAGACGGGAGGAACATGGAGCTCTTCGGATTTCAAGCCCAGTGAATCAACAACGAGCAGGTCCCGAGGCCCCCAGCCTGGCACAGAATCCTCCCTCTGCAAGCACAGGAAATCCCCCAAGCTGCATGGCTGCAAAGGCAGAAAGTGAGCTGGCTCCCAACACTGAGATTGGAGGGCTTTCTTCTCCCGGGAAGGCAGCCAAACAGCTCAGGACAAGGAACCGATCTGAGTGTTCTGTAGGTTCTGCTGCTGCAGCTACGCTGGGGCGGAAGGAGGCCAGAGCTGCTGGCTAGAACTTCTTGGGGCGATGCACAACCAGACGTGCGCTCTGAGCTGCGGAGCATCCTCAGAGCCATGCCCCATCAGGCATCAATGGAGCCAGTGGCAGCTGCTGGAGGCTCACCTGGTATGGATCGGAGCCATCCTTGTCCGGCACCACCTCCGTCAGCCCATGACACACACGTTCCACCTGGAGAGATGAGCACACGTCAGCCAGAAACTCCTCTGAAAGTGCCACTTCTCCCTGTCAGCACCCCGGAACCAGAGGGGGGCCTGCCCCTAACCCTGTGCCCCACAGCCTGGTGAAGCCCCACCGCCACCAGCTCACCCCATAAAGGATGGCCAAAGCACCGAGGGGACCTTGACAAAGGGGTGGGTGCTGTGCCCACTGCCCCACACTCAAGCGCTTTCCGACGCCCACACCCCTTTGCTGGCCCGCGCGCGGCCAAGACGCTCACCCGGAAGTGATCCAGCAGGTCGGCAGTGACTGCGTACGGGGCACCAATCACAACCTCGGACACATACTGAGGAAGGAGAAGCTAGGCGTGATTGCAGGCACAGGAAAGCCGAGTTGGACCCACTCCCCACTAGCCAGTCCTGCCGCTCAGCTGTGTGCGTGTGGGGATTTGAAGGGGGGCTTCCAGCCAGTGCCCAGACTCCAGTATCCTTCGCTTGTCTGACAAGCATGGGCCCGATCATGGAGCCAAGACGCGGTGAGTCTGTACCAGCCTGGCTGACACCCGAGCCCTGGGCCTGATGGCGGGTGGCAGCAGTGCGTGCGTCACCTGAGCGAAGTGCCAAAGGAGCTACATTCATCCTGGCTGGCGGGGCACAGCTCACCCACAGGGGGCCGAGCCAGGGAAAGCGTTTCTGGAGCTCTCCAGGAGCCCTTTCTACAGAGCACACTGCTTGTCCAGGACACTGGGGCTGTCGTCTCAGCCCTTCAGCCTGTTCCGTTGGCGGACCGGACTCTGGGCTCGCTGGACCGTTCGTCTGACCCAGTGTGGCTGCTCTGATGCTCACGGGAATGCCCTGGGATCTTTGACAAGTGAGAACAGCCCTGGTTTTACCCTTCTAGCACTGAGCGGAGGCACTGATTCAGCTGTGCCAACCACCTCACTGCCAACACCAGCTTCCTACTTAGCGCGGGCACCTCGTGAGCACACAGCCCGCTGCAGGCTTGTCAAGCCGGCCAGTTAACGCTGCTTGCCTGCTCTATCACCACCTAGGACTTGGCCAGGTTTCAATACGTGGCAATATCCCAGCAGGGATGCCCTGAGAGGGGCAGTGCTCTACCCTTTCGATCCCATCACGATGCCACGGTTTCGGTTTTTATGGCTTCGTTTTACTGCGTTTCACGTCTTGCCGAGTTAAAATAACCCCATTAACCTGACCTTTGTAATTAGGAGCATCCATCTGTCTAAAGCTGAGCTTACCAGAGGCCGTAGAGTCTTACTCCTGTTACTGGCCAAGTCCGTCGATGCTTTAAAATCACTGGACCAGTTTTGACAGCGACAATATTTGACTAGTCAGTTTGCCCAGCCCAGGGCACGCTGGCTGCAGGGCAGGATGGCAGCACCTAGCTCAAGACACAGCGCTCTTGCCAGACACTCACCCTGCAGGCCAGGACGCTGAGTGTCCTCTCATGGATGTTCATGATGGGATAGTTCTTCCCCTTGTAGCGATTCACTTCCTAGGGGCAAAGCACAGGAGTGACCTTCTGGCAAGAGGGGAACTGTTCTTTGAAAGCCCTCAGGAGCGTCACAATCTGTGTGGCTCAGAGCACGGCTCCCAGCAGACATCCTGCTGAGCCCACCTAGGAACCTTGGCCCTCGCTGCCAGGACAGCACTCTGCCTGACCTTGACGCAGGACACCACCCTGACCTGATCAAAGTGCAGCCCAGCAATGATGTAGGGTCTGTCGGCCAGCAGGTGCACCTTCTCCAGGAAATCCACGTGCCCAATGTCTATGGCGATAGTTAAAGACATAGTCCTTAGCATCGCTCTCTGCCTCCCCCAAGCGAAGATGCTGCAGTATGAGAGAGGGCCCTGAGTAATTTTTGTAACTTGCTGCCTCTGCCCCCACCCATCCAACAAACTCCGGGCACCTCCCCAGCCTGTGTTAATCTGATTCTACTTTGATCTCCTCCCAACATTTCTAATGGCTTTAGGGGCACTGTGGCAACTGGCCCAGCCCTGGAGACAGACGCACAGGGAAAGAAAAATATCCCCATGGCATTGGCTCAGCACGTGCTCAGACCAGTTCTCACCTGGTCACTGTGACAAGAGGCTTTAAAAGGGGGAACAAAGGAGACCTCAGACAACCCAGCCACCTTCCCCGCCCCAAGCCTGCTAGGTGTAAATCCACCCCGAAAGGGAGCTGCAGCTGTTTTCTCAAATCCATCTCCCCGTGATGGCGCCCTGTTCAGCCTCCGCGGCAGCGCCCTGTTCCTTCCCTTCCCTTTCCTCGCTCCGGGCGCTCTGCTCCAGTGGACAAGTGAGAGAGACAGAGGCCACGGCCTCGTCCAGGCAGCACACAGGCCAAGGATACGGAACAGGTCAAAGGCTCCGGCCACATAGATGATGGTGTCTCCCGGCTGTGGCTCCTTCCCAGACGCAAACTGGATGATCTTTTGAGAAGTCTGCAGGAACTGCGAGACGCCAGTCCAGGGGCTGTGACCTTTAGGGCCCTATGCAAAGAGAACAGTGGCTCAGTCCCAATGGCACAGAGGGTTCGCATGGGAGATGTGTATCACTCCAGTGACCGAGACAGCTGAAGGGCAGGGCAGGAGGAGGATGCTGGCAAAAAGCCAGCAGGAAACCTGGCTCGCAGCAGCTGGCATTCCTTGGTTCCCGGGACTCAGTATTCAGGCAGGCCCACTGCCCGTATTCGCACCTGGGCCCTTCGGACCCATCTCTGCGAGCTAGTCTCTGATCCACCAAGAGCCCCAGAAGGTGATGCTGGAAAAAATGGGGAGAGAGGGGACAGGCAACAGGGCAGCCCAGATCCAGTATATTAGTTTAGCAGGCAAAGGTAAGTGGAATGGGACTAGCTCCAGCTCTACCCACCAGAAAGGGCAGGTGAGTGCGGGGCTTTCTCCAAGCAGGGCAGGACTGGAACGAGGCCATCCCCACCCGCAAAACATCCAGCCAGGGGTCTAGCCCCACCGTGTGGCAGGACGGTGAAACAGCAGCTGATTGAAACACCAGCTCCTCTGCATCACTCTGCAGTTCCAAAAGGCCCAGAGAACTCGGCCCAGACCAGGGACATTCCCCAGGAACAGGGGCAGATGATCGTTTTGCGGGGCCCCGGACAGCATAATTCCGCGGGGCCCCGCCTTTGCCGCGGGGCTTTCTGAAGCGTGGGGCCCGGGGCGACCGCCCTGTTCGCCCTGCCCTATATCCGCCCCTGCCCAAGGACACACTCTGCCCAGAAGGGAGGCTGAGAGAGGAGTCGGTAGGAGGCCTGCATGGCCAAGATGCTTCCCGGGAGCGTGGAGCCCCCCAGCAGTGCTGAAGGGGACACTTTGGAGACCACCTGGAAGAGCACTAGGCTGAAACCAGTGAAACCCGCAGACCGAGCCACTCGCTCCAGCAGACCCAGAGGGGAGCAAGTTCCAAGCACTCACCTTCCCAAAGTTGTCCTGGTGCTTGCGGTAATCCAGGTCCTCGTCCTGCAGAGGAAGGGCAGACTCAGAATGCTGATTCTGGGGTGGAGCTTCAGCCCAGAACAAGCTGCTGCCAGCAAAGGCCCCAGATACTGAGCCTGCTTTTGATATCAGCATTCAAAAGCCAAACCCTGAGCGCCGGCGACCTGGCCCAAAAGCCAGACCGAGCACGGCTCGGGATCCGGCCCTGCCCTTGCCCAGCAGTAACGTCCCGACCGCACTCCGAGGCAGGGAGCCACCTGCCCAGACTGCACAGCCCCCAAAGGAGCAGCCCTGGGCTCTGCAGGGGGCCCTGTTCTCCAGGCAAGGATGGGAGGGTGTGTCTCTACCGCTGGCAGTGGTCCCTGCAAAGAGGCATGAGCTCCCTTCTCTGCTGCCTCGTGGGGCCAGAGGGACCAACACTCGAGTCCCTAGCGAGCATCTGAGCAACGGCAAGCAGGGCAGGGCTGCCCACGGGGGCGGGGCACAGGGAGCAATTGCACCAGGGCCCTGTCATTTAAAAAGGTGGCTGGAGCCCTGAGCCCTTTAAACCGCCACTGGAGCCCCATGTGGCGTGGTCTATGCCCCCCTGAGGGCTGGCTGCCACTAGCCTGCCCCTGCCAGGGATCCAGACCCAAGCCCCACATTGCCCAGGGCCCCTGCCCCGAGGCAGCTTGCAAAACCCATCCCCACTCTGCATCAGCGCCAGGCCCCAACACGGCCCAGCCCGGCCATGAGGAGCTCGCTCGGCCCCAGCTCTGACTCACGATGTTGCTGTGATGAGCCTTGGTCATGAGCAGCATGCGGCCCACCAGGTCAGTGGTGGACACGCCCTGGGTGCGTTTGCATTCCCTGGAAGAAAAGCAGCAAAGGCTAAAAGAGGCCAGAAAAGCCGGGATCCCCTCAATGAGCAGGAGCCAAACCCAGACCAGGGGCTGGGCGAGGCCCTTCCCCCACCCCACATGGAGAACATTTGCCTGACTGAGCCTCTGCACCTCCCGGCACTCCCCCCTCAGTGCGCGTGGCTCCTGTAAGACTCCCCTTGACCTACCCCTCCACGGATGGCTGCAGTCCATGTCACAGCCCACTGGGGCCAGCCAGCTCTTGCATGCAGCACCGCCTGGAGGAAGGCCGACTCACGCAGCTGACACACCATAGCTACAGACACTCAAAGACCAGCACGTTAGCTGGCTGCCACCCAGAGCCAGTCTTGGGGCGGGCGAGCCAAGCGCTTGCCTGGGGCTGCCACTTTCAAGGGGCCGCGGACAGTGCTGGTTTCAGGGGCGGGCCACGACCGCATTTCAGCCCAACCTCCCAAATCTTCCTCCCAGGTGTCCCTGGTTATTCCCCGACCCCCCTCTTTGTCTGCTTGACAAATTTTAGTCCGGTATTTTTTTTAAACCATCTGGCAGCTCTACGGGCAAGCCGGGCGGTCGCCCGAGGTCACCAATTGGTTAGGACCGGCCCTGGTGCCACACCTCTGGCTGACGCAGCAGCACACACAGGTCAGATGGCAATGGGTTACCTGTATCTCCCAGCAGCCTTCACCTCTTCGTAGGTGTCCTTGCCGTCCACAGTTAGCGTGATGTCATCTACAGAGGGACAGAAGAACCAATCAATGTTCCCGAGCCCTCCTGCGCAATCCAGTGGGCTGCCAGGGCTGAGCGGGACCAGCACACGTCAGGACTCGGGACGTTAAGTATCGGTTAACTGAAGAGTCGAGTAACCTCAGGAATTCCTATCGGTTAGTGGACTAGTCTGTAGTCCCTGGGGGTGGGGCCAGCAGCAGTGCAGGGTGCCTGGTGGGAGCTGAGCCGAGGGGAGCCAGTTTAAAAACCAGCTCCTCTTGCGGCCAGCCTCTGCCTGCGGGGGCAGCGTCCGAGCTCCTGGCCCCGGACTGCCTGCCCGTCTCCTAATCCACCTTAAACGCAGGGTCCTGAGCCTGGCTGCTGGGCAACCGGCTAAAACATGTCCTGGTTGGGACGGGGGAGGGGAATGCACGTAGTCTGTAGCAGTAACCTAGAGCCTCTTGCTTATCGGCTCCACTATTCCATGCTAGTCAGGACAGGGACAGGAGCACAGGCTGAATGCTTCTGTTGAACCCACAGCGTACCCAGCCGCCCTCTCCCCTGCCAGGGAACAGCGGGGAGCTGCCATGTCCCTGACCGGGAAGGGTCACAGAGTCTAAACTTCATGAACTCATCTCATCTGACCTTGTGTGTAACAGTGTACATGGGAGCCCTGCCCGCCTCCGTTCCTGCTGCGTCCTTGACACACGCAGCTCAAGTCACCTCTGCTCTCTGGGAGGAGCCTGCCCCACAGACTGACCTCAGACATCGCGCCCTAAGATCACGGAGCGGCTCAGCTCACTGCGGAGCAGAGAGGCACCACAGGTGTCCTGGGGCCACGGCCGCTGAGTACAGCACCAGCCAGCCAGAATAACATAGGCAGAGCTTTGCGGGATGGCTGTCACTCATAGGGCAGCCTAGCCCAGTGCCAGTCAGCAAAGCTCCCCTCCGTAGCAAAACTATTCCCTAAGGCATTGGCACCGTTTTCAAACCCGCTGCGGCTTTGTGCTGCACCCGCTCCAATTTTTCAGCATCCTTGTAAAAATGTGGCCACCAAAGCTCTGCGCAGGATTCCAGAGGCAGCCTCCTCAACCACAGACAGGGGATGTGAGGGGAGGTTCCTCTCAATCACCCGCAGGATTCCCAGTGTAGAGATGTAAGCGACTAGTCGACTAGCTGATAAGCAAAAGCTTAGTGGGTAGCTGACACACTAGTCGACTTGTCGCTTCCCCCCTTGCTGCCTCTCTCACAAAGAGGCAGCAAGGGGGCAGGAAGAGGAGAGGATACGGGGGGCAGCTGGCTTAAAAGCTGGTTCCTGCAGCTCCGGGGGAGGGGGAGGGGCACAGTGGCGGTGTTCCACCGTTGAAATGTGTAAGAGTCCCCGCTGGGGCTCTTGTGCATTTCAAAGTGGAAGTGCTGCATGGAGCCCGGGGTCAGCAGGGGACTCCCCCCAGCCCTGAGCTCCACGCCGCACTAGTCCTGATCGACTAATTGAATAGTCGCTGGAAATCCCCTCGACTATTAGATTAGTTAATTAATCGAAATGTAACGTCCCTATCCCACTCTGCTTCTTTCTGAGGCCTCTAGCCAAAAGCCAGGCCAGGCAGAGCGCAGGTCCCACAGGACAGGGAGTGACCGCCCCCTGCAGCAACAGTGCTGCTGCCTGTGACCCAGGCAAACCCGTGAGCTGGGAGGGCCGCTCAGCTGAACGCCTGCAAGTCTCCCCTGCGTTCCCTCCCTCTCTGTGTTGTCTGGTGGTTCCCAGGCTGGCCTGCAAGGGGAGGGAGGCCCAGAGAGCTGCTGCTGTTCTGCCATGGTTCTAGTTAAGCCTGGGTATTTCCTATGTCCCTTGGCTGTCCCTGAGCCCTGGAGAAGCCAGAGCCCCGGGGCTGGCGCGGGACTTTCCTGTTCACACAGAAGTGCTGAATGATCTGGCAGAAGGGCTGAGGGCAGCAGGCCTGGAGCTGACCCCACCTTCCCAGGGCCCCAGCGCAGCTGCAACACTCACTGCCGTGCACACAGAAGTCACAGTTATACTTGTCCAGGGTTTCCAGTGTGGTGACGTAGGGAGCTCCAGCAGCAATCTCATCCACCCACTTGATAGCTTGCACCATCTTGTATCTCTCTCCCTGGGTAAAGACAGGGGGTCCCTTGTGCTTGGCAATCTCCTCTGGGTTACAAAGAACAAAGTCAGTTAGACACACAGCGCACCTGGCGAGGAGAAGTCACAGTTATACTTGTCCAGGGTTTCCAGTGTGGTGACGTAGGGAGCTCCAGCAGCAATCTCATCCACCCACTTGATAGCTTGCACCATCTTGTATCTCTCTCCCTGGGTAAAGACAGGGGGTCCCTTGTGCTTGGCAATCTCCTCTGGGTTACAAAGAACAAAGTCAGTTAGACACACAGCGCACCTGGCGAGGCAGTTCCACCGGCTCCTCAAGGGCCCCTCAGCAGCCTCACTGCCCAGGGCTCCCACTCTGGGGTGATTACCTCCAGCCACAGCTTTGTGTGTGGGAGCTCAGCCCAGAAGGCATGGGGGGAGAGGGAGGGTGAGCTCTAACCAATTCTAGCATGGGCCTGGGCATTTTACCTTAGACCAGTGGGGGCACCAGTGTTCCCTGCAGGCCGGGCGCTTGTGCGGCTGCTCACGAGTCCAATGCCACCCAGCTGATCAGCAGAGCGCCCGCCGCCAGGGCTTCTCCGCTGAGGTGCATGCTGATTGCACACAGTGGGGACTGCGAGAGCCGTGCGCTCCCTCTGCAGCCGAAGCGCTGCCACAGTTGCTGCACAGCCCTGGACATTTTAGCAAAACTACCCTGTCCCGGGACCATCTTGGTACAACGGCGCTGCAGCCTGCTGAGGCAGGAGGACCGCTCACTAGCCTAGGTGGCCTATCCCTGCCTTGGACCTTTCCCAAAACCCAATCCGGGGGAGCCTCAGCTGCTACCTGCTCTTATCTTGCATTCTCAGCAGCTAGAAAAGGAAGGGGCCTGGATCCCTGGCAACCCACGCAAGGGATGGGGCTTAGGCCCCGGGCCTCTGAACGTGGATTTCTGTAGAGTCCAGGGATGGCGAACCCCTGCAGAGTTTCCAAGGTGTCAGGGGAATCCAAATGCTAGTAAGAGACTCAGGGGTGATCCCCATTCAGGGACAAGGCCTGGTCTATGGAGGAAAATGCGTGACACTAAAAATCTCTCTGAACACAGAGGTGCAGATCCCAAGTACAGACACGTCCACCACCCACCTAGTACAGTCTGTATGTTGGCTTAAGGCTGCCTCTGCTGGGGGTTTGCACCTGTGACTAGGCAAAACTTAATTGTTGGGAGGAGCAACATAGCCTGAAGGTCAGATCCAGGAGACCCAGGCTTGGTTCCTGCTCTGACACTGGCCTCCCAGTGACCTTGGGCAAGTCCCTTTTCTGTGCCTCGATTTCCCCTCTCTAAAGTGGGGGCAATGCTCCTGCCTTCTTTTGTCAAGTGCTTAGAGATGAAAAGGGCCATGCAAGAGACAGGTATTTCCTAAGCTACACTGGTGCAAGTTTTCTCATACAGGCCAGGCCCTAGAAACAGTCCCATGTGCTCTGGACTCTGAAGCCTTTCACAGAATCAGAGAAACGTAAGGCTGGAAGGATTTCAAGTGCAGACCTCTGCACGCAAGAAGCCCTCGGCCACCCCGCCAGACGTTTGTCCAACCTGTTCTTAACCCCCCAACCTCCCTTGGCAGCCTGCTCCAGAGCTCCATGAGCCTCGTGGCCGGAACGTTTCTCCGAATACCCTACAGCCCCTTGCTGCAGACTAACTCCACTGCTGCTCGTTCCACCGTCAGTGCACAAGGGGAACAGCTGGCGAGTCCTCTTTGCAAGAGCGCTTCACTGTCATCAGGCCCCCTCAATCATCTTCGCAAGGCTGAACACACCCGGGTCTTCACCTTCCTGCACCGGCGAGGAGAGCACTCTTGTGCTCTTGGGACGCTCTCCCATGTGCCCACGTCACGCCGAGCTGGACCCCAGGCGCCAGCTGAGGAGAGCAGGGCAATTCTCTCCTGCGCTTTCCACGCCGTAAGCAGAGCGCAGCCCTGCTCTGACACTAGCCAGGGAAATCCTCCTTCGATGACTGGTGCTGCTAGGGAAGCTGTAACTGGGGATTTGCGGGGCATCCCGCTCACCGTCCTTGGTTCCGATTTAGCTGGCTGGCCCTAGCAGCAGCAGCAGGACTGAGAAAGCCTCTTACCATCTGTGTGGACGCCCACAATGAGATAGTCTCCCATGGCCCGAGCCTGGCGCAGCTGATTCGAGTGGCCGTAATGCACCATGTCATAGCTAGAAAGACAAAGGGTCACTGTTAGGCTGAATGGACAATCAAGAGGGTTCAGCTGCATAACACTGTGATTTGATCCTCCTCCTGCATAGCAGTCAAAGACCCATCCGCTCGCTTCTTCCCCACAAAAAAGATTCAAAGGGTTCAAGTCTCCCAGCAGCTGAACTTCTGGTAATCACTATTAGGCACCTAACCTGTCCCAGAAAGCTGTACTCGCCCTCTGCAATACATCGGCTGGAGGAACAGGGAGCCCACAGTGGGACTCCCGGATACACAGCTTAGAAATGGGTGTCAGTGTTACCAGAGGCTATGTTCCGTCAGCCAGCTCTGCTACCCACATGGCTGGAGAACCCTGCTAACCTGGTGACATCTGGGAGGAGATCCAGAATTCATTTCCTCCCTCCACGCTCCCCGGGATCAGAGAAGGTGTTTCTTGGATGCCCAAAGATTCAAGCAAGAAAAGGGGACTTAGACCCTTCCCATTTTTTCCACATCCCAGAGCTGAAAAGAATTTCATAGGAGCTGGTGATACACTGAAGCCTCCTTCAGTCCCCTGTACTGGGCAAGATAAAGACCAATACCATCTGAGGAGAGATTAATAAGACAGAGACTTTTCAGCTTGGAAAAGAGATGATTAAGGAGGCAGGGGTATAACGTGGGGGAGGAGGGCAGAGGTTTATACAATCCTGACAGATGCATAGAAAATAAATAATGAAAAGTTATTTACTTCTTCCCATAACTCAGAATTAGGGGCCAAGCGTAATTAACATGCAGGCAGTTTAAAAGAAACCAAAGGCAGTATTCCTCCACACCGCGCACAGCTGGCCTGTGGAACTCCTCGCCAGAGGCTGTTGTGAAGGCCAAGACTATAACAGGGGTCAAAAAAGAACCCGAGAAACATATAGAAGACGGGCCCATCAATGGCTGTTAGCCACGCGGGGCAGGGCCCATCCCTGGCCTCTGTCTACGAGAGCTGGGAATGGGCGACAGGAGGATTCCCGGTTCCGGTCACTCCCTCTGGGGCTCCTGGCCCTGGCCCCTGCTGGAAAACAGGCCACGGTGAGACGGCCCTTTGCGCTG